GTCATGCTGAAAGACCCAGCCACGTTTCATCTTCAATGCCCTTGCTGATGGAAGGAGGTTGCCACTCAAAATCGCACGATACATGGCCCCATTCATTCTTTCCTTTACACGGATCAGTCGTCCTGGTCCCTTTGCAGAAAAACAGCCCCTAAGCATGATGTTTCCACCCCCATGTTTCACAGTAGGTATGGTGTTCTTTGGATGCAACTCAGCATTCTTTCTCCTCCAAACACGTCTAGTTGAGTTTTTACCAAAAAGTTCTATTTTGGTTTCATCTGACCATATGACATTCTCCCAATCCTCTTCTGGATCATCTAAATGCTCTCTAGCAAACTTCAGACGGGCCTGGACATGTACTGGCTTACGCAGGGGGACACGTCTGGCACTACAGGATTTGAGTCCCTGGCGGCGTAGTGTGTTACTGATGGTAGCCTTTGTTACTTTGGTCCCAGCTCTCTGCAGGTCATTGACTAGGTCCCCCCGTGTGGTTCTGGGATTTTTGCTCACCGTTTCTTGTGATCATTTTGACCCCACGGGGTGAGATCTTGCGTGGAGCCCCAGATCGAGGGAGATTATCAGTGGTCTTGTATGTCTTCCATTTTCTAATAATTGCTTTCTTCACACCAAGCTGCTTACCTATTGCAGATTCAGTCTTCCCAGCCTGGTGCAGGTCTACAATTTTGTTTCTGGTGTCCTTTGACAGCTCTTTGGTCTTGGCCATAGTGGAGTTTGGAGGGTGACTGTTTGAGGTTGTGGACAGGTGTCTTTTATACTGATAACTAATGCTGTCAAAATTATCGCGTTAACGACGGTAATGAATTTTTTGAATTAATTGCATTAAAATATTTAACGCATTTAACGCATGTGCAGAATGGCCCGCCCCATACATCCCACCAGTGACAGCGCCAGGGTATGGCTGGGGTAGGCTACACCCATACCAAGAAATGGCTTAGCCCCACCATGAAAAATGATGTTAAAGTAAGCAAAATAAAGTCTGCCAACTTGCGCGGAGTAAATTGCACAGACAGCAGTTAGTAAGATTGATTTCAGCAGCCACTTGTCTGGAAATACCGAAGACCAGAAACAGTTTTGAAAACTTTTGTCACGTAGTGATCGTCTTCTCAATAGAACATCTATATAATATAATGATAATGTCTTCTGGCCAATCATAATCAAGATAACGGCGTGGTGTTGTTGCAGGAAGTCCCGACGGAGAATACTTTTGCTGTAGTACAGGGGTGCACATAACTGGTACGCAGGTTATGTGCGTAATCTGAAATGCGTACCGTCACTTGTGTCACAAAGCGCATTTGCGTACCGACGTACTTGTGAAGCTTTTCCAGAAGGCGGTTAGATCACCGGACGACAGAGTCGGTCTCCGTGTGCACAGACAGGGCTGCTGTTAACGTCGGTCTGTACAACGGAATTGTGCCAAAACCACGCCAACCGGCTGCGGAGGGAGACTCCCCCCCTTCACTGGAGAACTGCGCTAAAACAGCTGATCACAACGTTCACACATACCTCATTCACACCAACAGTGTTTCGGGGCCGGTTCGGAGCTGGAGCTTGAAAAGCACTGGGTTTTCCTCTTCACACCGCAGCGGAGCAGCCTCTTAGCTCCGGAATCCGGTTCGTTTCAAGCACCAAAAAATTGTCCGGCCAGAGCAAAAGCACCACATACGTCACGCTTACGTCGAGGCGGGGGCAGGGGCAGGGGCGGGATCAACTCCTGAACAACAACAAGAAGCCCGCGTTTTATCCAGCTTGTACACAACGATGTAGAAACTTAACAAGCAGCAGTGGTCCACTGAAGAGACCAGCTACCTACTGGGAATCTGGTCTTCCGAAGAGGTACAGAGGAAGCTGGAGCACAATCGGCCATTGTTGTTGTTGTCGGTGTCAGCTGTGAGGGGTTTCCGTGCGGTTTGGCTTAATGAAGCAGGCACGCAAACGGTTACGTCATGACGCAAACGATAACGGAATGACGCAGCACCAGTCTGACTCTGGGCGGTGTGAAAAGAGCCTCCGCTAAACCGAATAACCGGTTATGAACCTGAAAAGCTCTAGCACGGAGCTTGAACCGGAGTTGCGTTGGTGTGAATGAGGTATCAGTTACCTCATTCACACCAATGGTGTTTCAGGGCCGGTTCGGAGCTGGAGCTTGAAAAGCACCGGGTTTTCCTCTTCACACCGCAGCGGAGCAGCCTCTTAGTTCCGGAATCCGGTTAGTTTCAAGCACCAACAAATTGTCCAGCCAGAGCAAAAGCACCACATACGTCACGCTTACGTCGAGGCGGGGGCAGAGACAGATCAACTCCTGAACAACAACAAAAAGCCCGCGTTTTATCCAGTTTGTACAACGATGGAGAAACTTAACAAGAGTTTCAGAGTTTCAGTGTTTCTGCCATAGACTGTATATATATAAAGGTTTCTGCTCATGGTGAAGCAACGTGTCTGCGTGTTAAGGTGGAACCTGAGCATTCACGTTGATCACCTCTCATTATAACTCATTATAAATCTATAAAACTATACATATTAAACTTTACTTCACGTGTTCATTTGAGAACAGCTGTTACATACCTGGGTGAAGGTTACAGTTCATTTAAATGAAAGATACAACATTACTCCACACTCATGGTTCAGTCCACCTTAAGAAATAAGACCGACCTCGGAAGCAGTTGTGTTTTAAAAAAACCTTTATTGACACGAGTACACTTTTTAATAAGAATATAACTAAACCACAGAAATGACTCCGGAAAAGCTGCAGATAGAGCCATAAGAAATTAATGCAACTGATTTCATCCGTGCGGTTTGGCTTTATGAAACAGGCACGCAAACGGTTACGTCATGACGCAAACGATGACGCAATGACGCATTACCAGTCGGACTCTGGGCGGTGTGAAAAGAGCCAGAGCTAAACCGAAGAACTGGTTCTGAACCTGAAAAGCTCTAGCACGGAGCTTGAACCGGACTTGCGTTGGTGTGAATGAGGTGTGGTCACGAAGTACTCCACTAGCCCCCCCCCCCCCGTCGACTTTCCTGAAGTACTCCCCCGTTGATAGAAATCAACACGTAATGAATTAAGACCCCACGATTTGATGATTGATAGGTGTGTGGGTTGTCTTTCATTTTGACACTCAGAATTTTTTAATAATAAACATAGATACTGTATGTTAAATGGATATATCCGCCTTCTTTCATTTATCTTTCCATTCCCACAACAATATACATAAAGAAATGGCATATTTTGGACATAGTTCGAATGGTGATTAATCATGATTAATTCATTTTTAAGCTGTGATTAATCTGATTAAAATTTTTAATCGTTTGACAGCCCTACTGATAACGAGTTCAAACAGGTGCCATTAATACAGTTAACAAGTGGAGGACAGAGGAGGCTCTTAAAGAAGAAGTTACAGGTCTGTGAGAGCCAGAAATCTTGTTTGTTTGTAGGTGACCAAATACTTATTTTACCGAGGAATTTACCAATTAATTTATTAAAAATCCTACAATGTGATTTCCTGGATTCTTTCCCCCCATTCTGTCTCTCATAGTTGAAGTGTACCTAGGATGAAAATTACAGGCCTCTCTCATCTTTTTAAGTGGGAGAACTTGCACAATTGGTGGCTGACTAAATACTTTTTTGCCCCACTGTATCCCTACTTCTCTTTATTTGTTTGCAACCATGTACATGTGCTTACTGTAGCACTATTCTGAAAAGATAAGTGTTTTCTCTACTTGTGTGTTGGTCATTAAAACCCAGTTTGCCTGAACCATAACATAATATTCATGCTGCTAGAACCCCTACCTTCTCTATCACCACATGGGCTACCAAGTAAGGCAACTTGAATGTAAATGGCATCTATATCCAAATGTTTCCACCTTCTTCCCTCACACCACAGAACACTCAAACTGTGGGGAGCTGATGAAATTCTAAATGATGAAGATGGAGATTTGCCTTCCTGCCAAGACACATATGCTTTGAGAGCTTGAGCAGTATGTTTTTCTAGAGTTTCCAGATTGGAACCAGTCAGCATGTCCCCAGTGCATGAAACACTCAAAGGGTGTGTCAACCAAGACTACCCAACAATATCCTAAGTGAATCTCTTCCATATACAGATGAGCTTCTTGACTAATTGAGTCTGCTTCCAACTCGGTTTCATTCAGTGTTTTTTCTTTATAAAATAACCGAAAAACAGTCAAAAACACACAGCTGCAGATCAGCTATGACTACAATCATTGCACAAGCATCAACATCATTAGAAGGAGGCCCTGAGGCACGGATGGGAGCATCAACAGAATACATAATAAAGGGAAACCCAACCCTAACCATGAAAATTAACAAACCAGAAGCCTCCTCACAACTAATTTAATTACTGTTAATGGAATAAATGCAATTTCCCTCTAACCATGTCACTCTATTGCATCATACTAATTTATCAGTTGCAGTGTGATTGTTTTTGTTAGTGTAATGCAAGAAATGGAACTGAGAGATACAGATACAATGTGGGACCTTATTGCTAAATAATGCTGAGATAATATAAAAAACCAACCAAAACATTTTGGTTTCAATATTTCCCTACTGCAATGTGGGAAATTGTAGCACTTGTAGTCAGTCATCTACTAAAACAAATTAATCAAGATGCTTTAATTAAAGAAACAAAAAAGGCTTGAGTTAGTTGTAGAGGGAGAACAGGTTCAAGGCTTAGTATCTGTATGTAGGCAGCAGTTGGTTGTTTTAAGCCTAAATGTTTTAGTATTTGTTGTGTTCACGATTTACAAGAGGGTATGTGTGTGTTTCTTTGGTTTTACGCTTGTAAAGCTGCGGTGACAGCATTTTTCCCCTAAATTTGTTTGCTCCTTAAGTGAGTAAGTATGCCAGGAGATACCACTGCGTTGCTGTTGTTTTATAATAAAGGGCTCCTTACCGAAGTCTGGGAAATCCCCCCATTCATCCATTTCGCTCTAAATGGAAGATAATGCAAAAAATGGAAACGCACCTTTTCTGTGATGATCCGATCTACACACTGCTTCCCTGTTAAAGGCAGGTTGCATGTTTCCAATATCTTGTGTATTCCTCCCTGAAAGACAAAGGGCAGTTGGTTAAAACATAAACTTAGGAAGAAACAGTCACCCTCGGAATGTGGGTTGATACCTTCAGTGATGCAGCTCCAATTTAAATATATCCAGTGATGCAGCTGGTTATATAAACTCTTATTTCCTCCAAAATGTATACAGCACAAAATCCACGCAAGACTGTCATTTTAAGGAAGGGACACATTCAAATGCCTCTGCTGCTGCCTGAGATGCACACTTCATCAACCCCCCCCCCCCCCCCCACCTCGCAGACTTCAGGGCAGTAAGTGTATGCTCACATGCTGCACCATCTGGAATACAGCTAGGCACCGGAAAGGATACCATTAGCAAGAACAACATGCTTCTGTGAATGCTATGTTACGCTGCCCTTGGGTCATATCGGTCTGGACTTTCCCATATGAAAAAAGAAGTGGATCAGTTTGGTCACCTACTGCTTTTGTCAAAAATCCCAGTTGGATTACTCACCCCTAGCTATAGAACCAGTCTAACTAATCAGCTGTTTCCAATGCATTAAGTATATTCAAAATAGCCACAGATGAAACAAACAGGACATGGTTCGTGTGCAAAACTTCATCAGTATGAGCAGCGCTCTCTTGTAAAGAGGCATTAAGAAATCCATTAACAGAATAATCCTTAGTCAGTAATAACACTCCCACTCGTTATCGTAGGAAGCAGATACAAAGTACTCTAGTGACGGTGCCAACATGGGAAAAGAAAATTGCCAATTTAATTTGACGTGGATACCTGGCAAAGGAAATTAGCCAGGGTAATTTGTAAAGGTCATGTTGGTTAGAACAAGCATGGTGAAAGCACACACACATAACACACACACTCCTACATGCACACATACCTTAGCTGAGTGCTCCATGGTGACCACCACCTTGGTTCCAGCGCTAGCCACCAAATCCATGGCTCCTCCCATACCCTTCACCATTTTACCCTAAATTGGAAAATAACATGGATTAAGGTTTCAGTCATCACATGTATTTAAAGTAGAACAATCATAATTCAGTTGTTATCTCCCGTTAGCAATGGCCTTAAAATGACCATGATGTAAATTTCAACAAAATCATAAAAAAAAACAGGAAACAAAAGCATTCATTTAGAAAGGTGAAAAGAAATGACAACACTTTTTTCACTTCCGCTGCACCTATTCAAGTAGATGGCTCTCTCAACACAAAACCACATCCATGGCAAATATATAAAGGTTTGCAAGCTGCTAGTTGTTGGTTTGTCTTCAATGGAAGAAAAATATTTTAAGCTCTATTCTTGGTATACAGTACTTTTCTTCCTTCAGTAGCAAGACCTTGAAAACAAATTACAGAATCAGACGGTGAACAAGAGAAGGAAGCAAAAATAATCAAACTAAAGTATTAGAATAATGTGGTGAGGTTACAGTGGCAACACCACAAACGCTATTTAATTAAATATTATAAAACATATGATTTATTTCCAAACAATTCGTAAAATAAAATGCAATGCAAAGCGAAATGCACAGTGTAACAAATCTAAACTAGACACTTAAATATTAGATATCCACTGTCTTCTTCAGAAATCCACTGTCCTCTAATACTGAACAAAACCTCCATTCACTGCGTTTGTATTGATTGGAGCACCAGCAGAAATGTCACAGATTAATTTATCAAAACCTGAGCAACTGAAACCAAAGCTATCTGCATGAATAGATAACAATGGTGGTGAGTGAGAAGATATGCTTTTGTAATTGCCGTGAGCAATGTGCTCATAACTCATGTTTCATGGTACAATTTCAGCAGCAGCATTTTGAGTGTGAATTGTTATGGTGTTTATTCCATTTACTGTATTTCGTCAATGGTCCTGATAAGATGCAGCATCAACAGTACTTCGGTATTGTGATGAATTCAGTAGTGTATAGTAGTGTAGTATAAGATAAACCTTAATTGGGCCTAGCTGGGTGTTAACTGAGTTTAACGGTGCTTACTCTCCTTAACTGCAACATTTTACTAAATACAGAATACAAAGTGTTGGGAAATTTGATCATAGCCCACTGTTTCCTTTAAAGATTACAAACCTCAACAGGGACCACCATCTCTTATTTATGCTGCAAAAAAGAGTTATACATTCACAGAGATGTGAGCAAAGCACAGAGCTAGCACCCACAGATCAGCCTAAAATGTAGTGTATCTTTTAAATAGGTTGCCTTATATGGTTAAACATGGTGCTTTAAACCATGGTTGTATGCTCCTATGTGCACTGCATTGCATTGCCTTTATTTACAATTGAAATGTTCCTTAAAAATTAACATTTAAATAAAGTTGGTTTTAATTTAAACCGGGAGAGGAGAAAGTACATAAAGAAATCTGAATGATCATCACAGCAACATATACGTCGACCAGGTGAAAAATTGTCTTCAGTTCCTGTCATTATTCCCAATAAAGATGGTTCCAAATAAGGATGGCTGACATGCAGAAATTGCCACAGGGTGACAGCTGAGTAACTTAATTAAAATCCCATTTGCTCATCAATCATGTGAAGCTTCGCTCTCTGCTAAACTATAACCAGAGAATCTATATGCCAAGTGCGGTTGGGATACCGTCTGCCTTCGGGGAAGCCAGCTGGGTGGAGAAGATATCAACAAAGAGCAAAGGGAGGGTTGGAAAAGAGGAGGAGGTTTACAGGAAGTACGGGAAAACTGAGGATATGGGAGGGGCTGCATTTAATTTAATTTATGTTATTATCTTGTAGAACTCCTGAATATGGCCTTACACTACATCATTAAATAAAATGACCAACATCTATGCTATTTAAAGACTATCCATTCTTAACTTTAGCCTTCAAGCACAATCTCTCCACCTTTGTATTCTGTCAGTGTTTCAATTCAACATACAGCGATACTCCAGATGATAACTGTGTCCTTTTTCACATGATCAATGTTAATGCAATTTCTGACAGTCAAAGGGCTAGGTGGTGTGAGCAAATGCCCGAGGGGATAACACCATCTGACCTGACAGCAGCAGGTCTGGATTTACAGCTGCTACTGCACCCATCAACTCGGCTGTAGTTAACCAGAGAGAGCATTTGCTTTTAAAATGTAACATTGGTATTGAACAAAAGTACTTTGGTGGTTATAATCAATAAAGAGATACAAATATATATTTTAAAGATAAATTACAAATGTACCTTTTTTTTTGGTTGGGCCAATGAAACTTCAACTGGAGCCACTATTTAATACAAAATAATCATTAGTTGTGTGTTTCTTGCAAGACAATACTAGGAATCAAGTGGCCTTGTTAATTCCTAACGTTAAAGACCATTTATTTAGCTTTGAAATGATGCAGCCTCAGTGCCTGTGTTGCATCACCGTGACAGCAGAAGAAACAATTCAGCTTGTGTGTGTGCATGTGGTCTCAATAATGCTTATGACCTTGTTTAATAGAGAACACTTTGATTGAAATACATTGTTAGCGAGATAGACAGGTGTGAGGTTATTGTCCATTACCGATATTGCTTGGAGGATCAGCATTACCTTGCCTCTGTTGGGCAGCTTTGCATTTGGTTGTCTGAGGTCGCTTTAATCTGAGCACCAAAAACTCTTAATATGATTTCTTTTTTAGTGTGTGGCAAAGGCTAGGATGAGCTAAAAACCTTTTAATCTCCTGCTAAAGTGATGTTATTCAATCAAATCAAGCCTAAACTTTTGGCTGGCTTTCTGTTAGACTTGTTTTGTCTGACTAGTAGAAAGCTAGCTGAAATGCAATATCAGGGACACATTCTTACATACTGTTTCAACCCAGTCTCATGGCATTTCGTGTTCACCAACACGATTTCCCCCTTTTTTTTGTGTTGCACAGCACGATTTTAAAAGCAATGTATTTCTACTGATTTCTACTGGTAATGTGTTTCGTGCCTGCAGCACGTCTTTTTCTCCGGTCGGGTCGTGGAACACCGGAAGCTGTGTGGTTCATAAAAACATGTTCTTACTCAATATCAAGCCACAGTTATTGCTTTTATTTTAAATCGTATAATTTCGGACTTTTGTTGCCGTCTGTGAGGAAAATAAATGGGGCTCAGAGCCTCAGAATACTGAAATCTGTATTTTTTAAATCTTTTTTCCTTCTAATTTGTTATTCTTTTCAAAATAACACACTGTTATTTACTCACCAATAACACACAATTATCCTTGCTTTTATTTATTGGTTTACTTTCATAATCTCGGCCTTTTTTGGCGTCCGTCAGGAACTGAATTTCAAAATAAAAATAACCGGAAACAGACGTAGGCATTTCGGGCGATTACCCAAGATCCTCAGCTATGGTTTAAGCTCGCTGATTGGATGTTTTAGCCGCAATGCATGCTGGGATTTGGTGTTTATATGATATGAAATCCGGGAAAAAAATTAAAATAATAAAACAATACTTAATTCCGAGTGTTCTTGCTTTTCTCTTTGAAAGTCATCACATAACGGCATTGTAATACACGGTTCGGCTGAATTACATATTACAGATCTGCCGTAGTTCTTTATTTATAGAGCCCTGATGAGAAGACCTTTGGAAAAACTGGAAGAAATGCCGCCGGAACTGAATACTTGACGTGGATCATAAATATATCAACAATTAAAACATCTTCAATTTCTCTTCACACAATACGTCTCCTTGCAGTATCAACACTAATTCGGCTGACTTTTACATTTGATCTAATTCATAGATAGGTTATATTTACATCATAACGGTGCACAGCTGATATAAAAGGACTTGTAGTTTTTAAAGATATTACTGATTTTCTTTGAATATAAGAATGTAAATACTGAGTCTGAAATAGTATAGCAATATGCTGTAAAATGATGAGAAAGCATGAATAAAACTACACATCTTCAGATGTTGTACATACATAAGTGTCCTACACTAATAATACAAAGTTATTATGGCTGTGTGTACCTTGTGTGCACCGCCTAGTGGTTAAAGCACGTTATTGAATTATTGTTTTTATGTGTTATATTTGATTAAAAAAATCTTAAGAATACATACTTTCATAGGGGGAAAGTAGAAGGTCTGTGATAGAAATATAGAATATAAAAAATCAAGAAGATTCTATAAGTGATCTCTACAATAAAACAGTTTAGTGCAGGATGTACAAAGATATTAATAGGAGGAAGTGCAAAACAGACAAACTAATTAACCTTTATTTAAACATTAAATAATACTTTAGATTAAGGTCTTCTTTTAAATAAGAAAAAAACTTTGGGGGTATCTATCTACAGATAAATATTAAGCATGACAAAGTACTTAACGTCTAACATATTGCTTTCCTGCAATGTTAACTATGTTGAAGCACTTATTTTAACTGATATTATACGTATGAATTATACTCTTATGTATGCAGATAGTATAAGAAATGTGCAGAATATGACAGTTTAATGGTGGAGGTATACACACATATTGATAGATATCTTGTAATGCGCTGTTGAGGAACCTGTGACCCAAGATTTTCATTCCTTGCATACACCGTGTATATGATATATGATATGTCAATAAACTGTTGAAAATCTTGAAAGGGATGTGCAAAATAGCCATAATATACAGTCTTTAATTAGTCTTTAATTTAATTTAATTAACTATTAGTAGAGAATAACGAGTAATGAATATACTTTATTACTTGTTTCCATTCATGTCAATTGCAGATACATGTTTAGTCTTCTCAAGCACCAACTATCAAATATCTCTCCTGATTGTTGGCACTTGACAATCACCTTACCTGAATTTTACTCAGGTGTAACTAAAGTCTGATTTAAGGGGTTGTTTATATTTCACATCATTAATCAGAATCTGCAAAGTAAGTCAAATAAGTGTAGTGGAGTAAAAATACCAGGTTAACCTCTGAATTGTAGTGGAGTAGAATTACAAAGTAACAATGAGCTGTCATGTGGGTATATATATATTAATGCTGCGCATTATGGACACAAGCGA